CTTCCCGAATTTCATCGATCCCCTCCGCGAGACCTTCAACCCTACGATCAACCCAATCGATTTGAAACCCTAGATCATCCGTTCTTCGATCTAAGTCTTCAAAATGAGCATCTCGTCGGTCATTATCTCGTTTTGGCGGCATCTTGAATCGGTCTGACTCTGGATACCAACTGACGCAGTAGAAAACGTACGGTGGGAACAATATGAATTCTCAGAAGAACTCAAGAGAGATAATTTTATTTCAATCGTAAACTGAATAACAATGAATGTTCTGCCCTCTTAAATAGGCTCTCCACCCTAATTTATTTACAGCAACAAATATCCTAACATAGGAAATAAATAAAAGGGAATAAATAACAAGATAAATTATTAAATAACTAAATAGCTAAATACGAAGAGGATCAAACTTGTCCAAGTACGCCAATACGATCTCGTCGCCATCAAAATGATTGGCATGGGTACGACTCAGGTGTCGGCACGTTTGGTCCGGCTTCGAAGGTGAAGCCTTCCGAACTGGGGGAGGATGATGCGGATATTATTATTATTATTATTATTATTATTATTATTATTATTATTATTATTATTATTATTATTATTATTATTATTATTATTATTATTATTATTATTATTATTAGTAGCTTGGTGGACAAGATTGCTTTAGGGTTTGTAGTGTCTTATTTAAAGACTTCTTTTATTTGTTATTTGGGAGTTGATTTATTGAAGGAATAAAAGATGATTTGATTATGAGTTTTGCGTGTTTTACAAGAGAGTATCTCGTTTACTCGTTTTATCATTCCCACTCATACGCTTCCCTACATTAGTAGTTAATAACATTAAATATTTTTTTTACAATTGAATCAGCTATTTAAGCAAACATTTTTTTTAGAACCGCTAACAGTATCAGTTGGTCAAATCAACCAATACTAACAGTTGGTCAAATAACTATTACAATCTGCTAACCGCTAATTACCAAACAAGACCAAAGACCAAAGTATTAAAAAAAATGCACTCAACATTATAATTTATTAATATTTCATCCAATATATATTTAATATTATAGAATATAATAAAATGGAATTTTTATCTTACATCAATATAAAAAATTGTTATAATATTAGCAAGTGGAATAAACTACTATGCAAAATAGTGACATTTCACTATTTATAAGTATGGGCATAGTAAATGAGTTGTGGGTATGAATAATTTATGTAAAATGTGCCGGTAGAATTGCCTATAAAAGGCACTGCAAATCAAGCGAAGTAGTGCGCATTCTGAAGATAATTTTTATCCGGTTTCTATTTTGTGTTCTTTATCTTTTTCGTTTTTATAACACGTTATCAGCACGAGCGCTCTACCCGGTCAAGAAAGGTAGGAATATACTAATTATATATGTATGGATAAATATTACATAAAATTAGTATATTTTACTGATATACATATTACCATTATTCTTGACAAGTAAGGCTCTGCCATAGTCAAGGATATGTGGTATGAATATACTAAATATGACATTATTTATATATTATCATTATTATTGGCAAGTAAGGCTATGGCATAGTTTATAATATGTGGTAAGATGATATTATTAGAATTACTTATGAATTACTACTGATTATGATTATGAGAAAATAACTTCAAATTATAATAAATCTACATAATATTATTATTTATACGTAACACCCACAAAATGGTTTACCCAGTAATGTGGCGTGAAATTTGCAACTGCTCATTCTTGTACCCACCGAAATATTTATCGAGTAGTGTGGAGTGACATTTTTATTTGTTTTGTTATTTATGTTCACTAAATTGTTCATGTAGTGACTCGGAGAATTTTTAAGGTAATATACATGATTAATTAGAGTGTTATAATCATGAATGATTAACTAACAAATATTATATCATTAATTTGTTCCCAACGGCTCTATTGCAACGGCTATATATCAATCTCTATATATATATATCACATTACACTTCATATATTAATATTCATTCCAAATACTACAATATATTCCCCTCAAAAGAAAAAAAAAAAGTTTCATCTACTATTTATAATTACCATTATATTGTTTATTATATACGCTTTGGGAATTTTCACGATGATGTATCATACCGCTGAATTTTTATTTTATGTATTAGGTCTTTGTATAATGTGTTTCTTATTTGCTCTTCTATATGTTGTGGAGAATTAATGATTGTATATGTAATTTTCTCGAATCTAAGCATTGATGTTTTTATTTTATAGTTATCATGGCAAATCTGGTCAAACTCGAATTTGAGGCTCTTGATATATCGGGAAAAAATTATATTTCATGGACACTAGATGCTGAAATTCATTTGGCCGCAAGAGGATTGGGAGAAACAATAATCTCCCCAAATAATTCATCAATACAAGATAGAGCTAGAGCAATGATATTTCTGCGACATCATTTGAATGAGGGATTGAAAAATGAATACTTAACTGTGAAAGATCCTGCGGATCTTTGGAAAGCTTTAAAAGAAAGATATGATCATCAGAAAACAGTAATTCTCCCTCGGGCTCGTTATGAATGGATGCACTTACGCTTCCAAGATTTTAAAACTGTAAACGAGTTCAATTCAGCCATGTTCCGCATTTGCTCGATATTGAAATTATGCGGGGAAAACATAACTGATTATGATATGCTTGAAAAAATGTTGTCCACAATACATAACGGTTTTCAGAAAAATTTTGAAAATAATAAAGGGGAAGAAAAAGCTGTGAAAAATAACGATGAAAAGGCATGTTATCGATGTGGGAGAAATAACCATTGGCTCGAAATTGTCGAGCCCCACCACACGTGGTTGAAAGATATCAGGATTCCCAGAAAGCAAAAGAGAAGAATATTGAAACTAATTTTATGGTTGGGGAATCCTCTGAAAATGATGCAACACGTGTGGATGATGACTATGACATCGATGATATATTGAAACTGGATTTTTCCAATGCGGCATTTGAAGACGAAGCTGGAAATGATCAAGAAAATAACTGATGATCATGTTTTTTTTGCTTTCTGAGTTTTTATTGTATTGGTGTGTGAACTACTTTTATCTGTATTTCGAATATTGATCAATAATAAATGTTGTTTTCTTTTAGATCATGGATCGGTCTCGAATCCAAAATGAAGATATATGTCTTGCGGATTGTGCCACTACTCATACTATACTCAAGGACAAAAAAATATTTCGTTAACTTGAAGTTAAATAAAGCAAACGTAAACACAATATCCGAAAGTGCAAAGATAATTGAGGGTTCTGGAAAAGCCATATTTTTTATGATGTGAGGTACAAAATTTATAGTAAATAATGCGCTATTCTCCCCAAAATCAACAAGAAATTTGTTGAGCTTTAAAGATATTCATATGAACTGATATCACATTGAGACTATGAATAAAGGGAGAGATGAATATCTTTGCATTACCTCAAATATTGCGGGAAACAAATGTGTTTTGGAGAGATTACCCGCTTTATCCTCGGGTTTATATTACACCCGGATTAATATAATCGAGGCTTATGTTGCAACCAATTCAAAGCCGAATGAAACATTTAAACTTTGGCATGATCAACTTGGTCACCCTGGCTCGATAATGATGAGAAGAATTATTGAAAATTCTAGTGGCCATCCATTAAAAAATCAGAGGATATTGCAAACACATGAATTGACATGTGTCTCATGTTCTCAAGGGAAATTGATACTGAGACCATCACATACTAAAGTCGGACATGAATCACCATTATTTTTTAAAAGGATTCATGGTGATATATGTGGACCTATTCATCCACCTTGTGGTCCATTCAGATATTTTATGGTGTTGATTGATGATGCCTCTAGTAGATGGTCTCATAACAATCAACCTATCCGAATTCATGGGCCCATAAGGAATTCAACGATGACAAGCCTGAAGGGATCGAATAGTCTTGATCAGGCCCAGAAACAAGTGAGACGGCCCATAACACCTACCACTAATGGGGCGGTGGCCCAACCATCGGCCAACGAAGGAACCGATAAGGACAAATTTGTGCACGACATTTGTCATTCGCTCAATAAAAATCTCCGAGTCAGCATTTGCTATAAAAGGACACGTCAAATTGTAAGTTTTATAGAAATCAATTCGAGCTGTTTAGATCTGAACTGAACCTAATTTTAAAATTCTTCCTCTCCTGTTATCGATAGCGATGGCCACCGGAAAGGAGCAGGCTCCGGCGCAGGGCACGGCGTCGGTGGAAGAAGAGCGAGTGGAGAAGGAGCTCGACGGCGACGCTCAGTTGCAGCTGTGCCGCCAGCACTGCGGCGGCGTTCCTGCATCGTACGGAGCCGACGACAGGAAACCACGCGTGGTGTGTACGGAGGCGGAAGTTGAGGACGGTTCCGGCGACGCCTCCTCCGCCGGAAAGTGCGAGGATATTAAGCAGCAGGCTGATCATTATAAGTGTGCCGGTTAATTTGGTGTGTATGTGTGTGAGTGGTCGTGGATAATATTCTGGTACTCTGTTTGCTGGTTTTTAATTTCTCAGTGTAGAATTGGATGTTAATTAATACACGATGAACATAAAAAATTGGTTTTGGTTGAGTAGTTCGTCGTCAGTTCCTTTGTCATATTCTTCGAAGACGAGTATATACACACTACATACTTAATAATAATAATAATAATAATAATAATAAATAATACGTGTATTGTACTTGTTAAGATAATTATATTTAAAATTAAACAATAATAACATTAAAAATTGTTTTAATTTGTAAATATGTTTTTTCTAATATAGTCGGTACACGATTTAACATCTTATATTATATATTTTTTTTAATCTCTATCATAAAACTATTTTTTTTTTCGGAACGATAGATGTACTATAGATAAACGCACAAATGCGCGAAAATACAAACTTGGAGGCTAGACCGAGGTCCGCCTAGAATCGCTAGCAAGACTAGAAAGAAAACGACTCAAACACCAACACAAGAACCAACGACACTGACAAAATAAAACAATCCCTGCGAGGTGATGTGGAACGACCACAAACGAGGTAATGTGGAACGGCCCCGAAACGAGGAAATACCCGTACGCAGACGGGCTCATAGGGGCGAACGGCCCAGAAAAAAACACAATCCTAAACCATACAAGCACAAGCACAGAAAAACAACAAATTAAAACCTAATCGATAACACACAAAGTCCTTCCCCGAGATGACCAAACCCATCAGCAACAGCGAAACAGGACCAATCACCCCATAGCTTGTCCGGAAAGCCGGAACACCACTCCCGCCACTGCCTAAAGCCTAGCAAGGAACGAGTCCAAGCCTCGAACACTCCAAGGATGAAGGCGACCCGTAGCCCGAAGAGGATCAAACAGCCCCCCCACACAGACCCTCTCCCCGAGACCCGACCAAACACCGCTGGACAAGTACCGGCCTGTTGGGCATCCAACTTCACAGGCAAAGCGGACACAGGGCACAAGTCGATCCACCTCAACCTCGGCCGACGCGTCACAGACGAACCGAGCCAAGGGTCGCACCCAACCCCAACCACATACACTCACCTCCTTGAAGCAACTCACCACGATCCAGGCGCACAGCGGACGAGCTCCAACCGAGGACCGAGTAGAGATGGAGCCAGCCGACGGCCAGCCAACATAGCTGCTACTCCGAGAACCAGCAGACGGAACCATCACCGGCGAGATGGAGACGGCGAGACTTGCCAACAGATTGGGAGAAGATCCATCAACGTAGAAGCACTGGCGAGAGAGAAATTGGGGCGGGAATACGCGGCTACAGATCATCCGCCGGCGAAAAGGCCGGCTAATCGCCGGGGAAGGCGCACGATGGACGCGAATTAACGAGCACAGGCGAGGGTTTCGGGAGAGAGAAAGGGGATATGAAAAAAGTTTTGTATGGTTACAATAGTATCATCCCATAAAACTACTTTTAGTTAAGTAAATTTAAATAATTTTATTTTTTTTTAAATTGAAATTAATAAGTAATTTAATTTTTATTATAAAGAAATAAAATTATTTATTTATTTCTATGTATTCACATTATTAATTTGATATATTATACATAAAAAATTGTTAATAAATATTTTTCTAACTTTTAAATATATTTATAATATAAGTCAGTAAATTTGTTATAATTTTAAAATAAATATGAGGGGAAACGAAAGATTGAAAAAACAATTATACCTATTAAAATAAATATGAGGGGAAACGAAAGATTTAAAAAACAATTATATCTTATAAACCACAATTATAATCGGTAATGATATTAAAACATAATTAATACTCTTAAAACAGTAGATATACAATATATTTTGAATATTTCAAGTCTAGTTACTTTTGAATTTAATATAGATGAATTAATATATTTGAATTCCAAGTCTAGTTACTTTTGAATTTAATATAGATTAAAATTCATCTAACAATCAAAGCTTAAAAATTTGACAGATGAGCTTAAAAATATGAATTCCGTATATTTTGGATATTACAAGTGTAGTTATTTTTGAATTTAATATAGATTTAAGTTCATCTAACAGTCAAAGCTCAAAAATTTGACAGATAAGCTTAAAAATATGAATTCCAATAGAGATAACAGGACGGAGATATAGAAAGATTTATGTCTTAATTGTGATCTTTCACAAATTCATTTATTAAATTTCTTTAAAAGAAGAAATGAAGTTTTTTATTTTATTAACACGCAAGAATTGTATGTAGACATAAGAGATGTTAAATGAATTGTATATCTGCCTTTGATTACTAAAGCAGAAATACGAAAAAGTTTAGAAAATATTCTATCTTCTATAAGAAGTAAGATTTCAACATTCATCTAGGGGCAATAAAAATTTTGTTTAAAACTGAGTTTCAAGAAAGAATTGATACTCCTATAAAAATGACATTAATTGATTATAAAATTAATGATATAATGTTAGAGTAGTATACCCAGAGTTCCAATTTGATTGGACGTATTCTACTTGT